GTTGGAACTTCCCGTACCGTAATTAAAAATCGTGGTACAGAACCCAAAAAAAAAAAAATACACAAAATATGTACACATCATTAAAATTTCTATAAAATATCTGATAATTGATGTCAATACGTCCAATAAACATTTTTGACCGCCAAATGACATTTTTAAATTATTTTTATTGAGGCAAATTGAAATTTAGACAGTTTTTCATCTTGTCAATACAAGTTAAATGTTTTTTGATTTATAAAATCGGACGCTCCATTCTCTTAAAATCTGAGTTACCGTTTTTGAAACTTAGGCTAGACCTGCTATGCCACAAACTAATCAGCGCGTTTTCTTATCAACAGCAATCAATTTTTTTGAATATTTAAAATCGGTTGAACCGTGTTCCCGAAATCATCGACCAAAATTTTTATCCGCACACACACAAATACATCCATTTTTTCTAAGATATGCCAAAACGTTCAGAAAGCATAGAAACGTAAAATATATAAAAAATATTTAACTTCCTGTAGGGTAAGTTATAGTAATCGCAAAAAATTGAAAATATTTACATTTTCATATCTTTACAATTTTGCATATCTTTACATTTTAGATTTCTAAACATTTTGGATTTTGGAAAAAATGGATTTATGTGTATATGTGTGTGTGTGTGCGGATATAAATTTTCGTCGACGATTTCGGAAACACCGATCAACCGTTTTGAATAATTCGATTTGTATTGATAAGGAGACGTGCTGATTACTTTTTGGCGAAGGCAGGTCTAGCCGTTCCGAAGATATGGGGCAAAAAGTGCAAAAAATGGCAGGTTCTGAGAGAAAAAATTGGCCGTTTTGAATGATTCAAAAAACATTCGATACGTATTGATGAGAAGAAGAGATGATTAGTTTTTGGCAAAGACAGTCCCAGCCGTAATGAGCTAAAAGTGTGCAGAATGGCAGTTTTGAAAGAAGGAAGTATCCGATTTGAATGATTCAAAAAATAATTTGCTAGTGAAGGGACGATTATTTTTGGGGAAAAGCAAAAAAAATCTTTATTTCATAAATTCAAATTTTTTTTTTTTAAAAAAAAAAAATGATTTGGATTTTAATAATTTAATTCTAGAATTTAAAATTCTAAAATTTCATTAATATACTTCGAATAAATAATTTTACTTCATAATTCTTAGAAATATGAGATAAGATCCTTCATTCTTATAAATCCGATAGTTTTACTTTTCTCTAAATATATATAAATGTTGTCGTCCAATGTGTAAGTCCTTATAAAAAAATGATTTAGATTTTAATTTTAATTCTAAAATTTAAAATTCTAAATTTCCCCTATATACTTTGAAATAAATAATTTTTACTTCGTAATCTTAGAAATATGAGATAAGATCCTTCATTCTTATAAATCCGATTGTTTTACTTTTCTCTAAATATATATAAATGTTGTCGTCCAATGTGTAAGTCCTTATAAAAAAAATGATTTGGATTTTAATTTTAATTCTAAAATTTAAAATTCTAAATTTCCCCTTTATACTTTGCATAAATAATTTTTACTTCGTAATTCTTAGAAATATGAGATAAGATCCTTCATTCTTATAAATCCGATTGTTTTACTTTTCTCTAAATATATATAAATGTTGTCGTCCAATGTGTAAGTCCTTATAAAAAAATGATTTGGATTTTAATTTTAATTCTAAAATTTAAAATTCTAAATTTCCCCTTTATACTTTGCATAAATAATTTTTACTTCGTAATTCTTAGAAATATGAGATAAGATCCTTCATTCTTATAAATACGATTGTCTTACTTTTCTCTAAATATATATAAATGTTGTCGTCCAATGTGTAAGTCCTTATATTTCGTCTATAAAATAAGAATAATAAAAGTTACAGTACTTATAATAATCTATCTTGGAACATTTAATATTTCTCGAATATTTATTACGGTACGCGAAGTTTCAGCAATTTTCCTTAAGGCACGATTAACCAATTCTGGTTAACTTGAAGTTGATTATGTACATATATTGGGGAAAATATATACAAGTCGCTTTAAGGCAAAATGCTACTTACAACTATGTATATTTGTTACGTGATGCTAGTCGCTTACAAGTTGCATTGCTAAAACGCGAAACTTTATACAACTTGTAATTGCGTACAATTTTATGCATTTGCCTCATTACGATTAAAGAAAAAGAAAGAAAGAAAGAAATTTATAATTGCATGCAAATGTAAATAATTTCAAACGTACTTCCATCGTCTGTTTAAAATTCACAATTTCCGCAAAACACTAAATTTACATAAAGAACTAACAACAAGTTTCAAGTTTCCCTACACAATCATTGGCCATTGCTATTTTCTTTTGTCCATCTGAAAGGAAAGGAAGACATAGGAACTTTGTCTGTGTTTGTTCTGTTCGAGTCGTATAGTAGTTCGATCGTTCGTAAAAGTTTGAAAAGTTCCTTCCATGTCGAAGAATGAACCGTTGAACGAAAGGCAGGTTAATTGAAAATTGTTTGCTGTTCGGTTCATCGCGAGATGCCGTCGACAATTCCCAATAGGAAAATAGACGGAGAGCTGGTGGCCAAAGAGGCAAACTTGTATGCGTAGGAGGCAAGAAATTTGGAAATGAAATGAGTTTTTCAATTTAAACTAATTGGTATTGGTATTTAGTCTTGAGGCGAGTTACATGAACTTCCCGATATGTGTAAATAATCGACTTAATCAATAAAAAATAATTTAATTTATGAGCGATTAAGAGTATTCCGAGTGTATTTACACATAAAGGAAACGAACAAACACGTTAACTCGGCAAATTTTCAAAAATCAACAATTTATATAATTGAATCAGTTTCCGCAGGACTTTAATGGTAGGTATGTTCATTAAGACCAAGTACTACTATCATTATACCAAGTAAATCCTCTAATTGTAATATTAACAAATGCCAAAAAAACTACTCATTTTCTCAAACTTTGATAAATTTTAAAATTATACTACTTGTCGTAAGGCCGTAATATTTCAGTAAGTTCTATAAGACCATGATATATATCGCCAAAAAAAGTTC